AAACGCGCCGACAATTTTTGAGTTACGTCTAAAACTAAAACTTCAAAGACGTTAAGTCCGATGCAACTAATGAAATATTCGCGGCCCTCTTGTATCGGTTTTTACCGCAGACGACGGCTCAGCATTTGGCGGGAAACCTGCGACACATATTCCGCGCGCTTTGCGGTCGCAGACGACGTTTTACTCATAGCGTTATAAAGAGAGTCCAATTCAACAAATCAAATTTCCGCGGCTCTCTTGAATCGGTTTTTACCGCAGACGACAGATCAAGTATTAGTCTTTGGCGGGAAATCTGCGACATATTCCACGCGCTTTGCGGTTTCAGACGACTTTTCCCCCTCAATTCCTTTCCCGGAGTTCAATTCAACCAATCAAATTTCCGCGGCTCTCTTGTATCGGTTTTCACCGCAGACGACGGTTCAACTTTGGCGGGAAACCTGCGACATATTTCGCGCGCTTTGCGGTTGCAGACGACTTTTTACTCGATACCTTTCCCGGGAGTTGAGATGACTGAACCTGTGTGGTCAGGCAAACAAAACAAGGAACACGCCGAGATATATCCTCTCAACTCATCCGGGCCGCTCAGAAATAGACATTTTGAGGAAATTCTTCGGTTTCAGTCAGTTTTGCGACAATGAACCTCCCGCCTGTCAACTCACTTGTACCACAGCTAAGTAGGAATGTTTTTTCTTGTGAAGAGTGAATAAGAATAAACCATGAGGCCGTTTTCTTCGTTTTGCTTGGTCTACTTCCTCTAAGTTTTCCATCCATGACTACTTGACGACAGAAGCCTAGATTCTTTTCTTTCTCTTTGTCTTTCTCTTGTCTCTCCAAATATTCCTTCTTTTTCGTTCCCTTTCTTCTAGCGTACGTTAGCTCAAGAGTTATAAATTGAGATTCAAACTCTTCTTCTGCAGAGCTTTTCTATGTGAACTCGTCTTTGAAAGCATATATTCATGTCACCATGTATATGTACTATATTTCAATCAATGATGACTTATTGCATTTTATCGTTAATCTGCTGAATTTTAGACTGCTGTAAAATTACAACACAATTCAAGAGTTTCTCCTGCAGTGTTGTTTTTATCAAATAAATTTAATAAAGTTCAAAACCTTTTTTGTCCTTCCTCAGAAGTGCCTTGCTTCCACACGAGTGCCCAAGATGCCAATTGGCGTACTGAAAACCCCCCACGGTATCCTCAAGTTTCCCCCCGTGTGTGTTTAATCAGGGGCGCGTGTCTCAGGCCTGGTGCGGCTGACCTCCCGTGACCCCGCGCCACAGGGAAGATGTCTGAACCGGTTAGAATCAGGATTACACGGCGATTTGCCAAAGCGGGGACAACACGTGTAAGTAACGCTAGTTCAATACCAGTCCGGCCTGGTTGGTCCTCCTGGCTTCCAAGAGCCAACTGAGAATCAATCTACTATCCCCTGGGGGTGGAGAAAGGTAAAAAGATATAATTCATCTCGTATAGATTCACCCCAAAACTGCTACACACACACACACACACACACACACACACACACACACACACACACACACACACACACACACACACACACACACACACACACACACACACACACA